AGTCAAAAAGTCACCACCATCTTTAAAAAGAGCCGGAGGTAAGTCATCTGGGCCAGGTGATTTGTAACGCTTCAAGAGTTGGAGTTCCTTGCGGACTTCCTCCTCGTTTGGTGGATCAGTCGTCACCGGCCATGGAGGGCAGGACAGTCTAACCGATGTTGCCGGAGCAGCAGGCCAGTTGAACTGCCCTTCGAAAAATTCTGCCCATCGTCCAAGACGTCGATGGATGTTAGTGATTGGCATCCCATCATCCTCGCAGATTGTTTCACTCACACCAGACTTCTTGCTGCCAGTGGCTCGGATGAGCTGGAAGAGCTTCCGGTAGTTACCAGATGCAGCTGCTGCTTCCAGCTCATTAGCACGCTCCGACCACCAGGCTTCTCGGTCCTTACGCAAGCTTTGCCCAATTTCCCTACGTAACATCCTTCGTTTATGGTCAAACTCACGGTCACCCGGAGTAGACCGACGGGCTTCGATGAGTTGTAAGGAACCAGAAGAAACCCAGTGCTTAAAAGCGGGACGTTTCGCAAACCCACAACTGACTGTTCCCGCCATTTTCATGGCGTCAAGCAATTGCAACCAATGCTCATCTATACTTTTCGGTGGAGTGGTAGCTAGCCTAGAGGCTAACTCGGTTCGATACTTATTTGCAACAGAAGTTGCAACCAGCTTGCTAACATCAATCCGTTGGTGGCGGTCACTTCGTTGTCCACTGAAAAGTAAGGCAAGATTGGCGCAGACCAAGGCATGGTCAGAGTCCAGATAGGTACTCCAAAAGGAGCGGCAGTCTTTTACACAACCACGCCAGCGGAAGCTGATCGCGATGTGATCAATCTGAGTCCAGGCTTGGGATGCAGAGGGAGGACGCCAGGTGGCACATCGGCGATGACTGTGCCGAAAGTTAGTGCTAGCCAGAAACAGGTTGTGGTCTGTGCACAGTTGCAGTAGACGGTCCCCGTTATCTGACCTGCGACCAACGAGTCCCCATCGGCCACCTAAACGACTCTCTTCTGTGCCTAGACGCCCGACCTGAGCATTCAAGTCTCCGGCTAGTACTACAATATCTGTCGAACGCACTTTCTGGAGAAGAACGGATAACTGGTGGTAAAACTCATCCTTGATTGCATCCGGGCTGCAATCTGTCGGGGCATAGGCGGAGATGACGAAAAGACATCGTTTCTCCCGCCGATTTCTTCTCACTTTGATGGAACTTTCTAATCTAACAGCACATAGCCGACTGTTAATGGGGATCCAATCAACTAGTGCTGCCTCAGCTCTAGCGCTTAGTGCGACACCAACGCCAGCAAGACCAGACGAAGATGCCACAGGGTCCCCGGATAAGCGCACGTGAAACAAGCTTTTCGAAGCGACAGATGGAGATCGAATTTGTAGTACTTCGCCAGAGTCTTGAATACGGGTCTCGGATAGACAACAAACATCAATATTAAGACTTTCCAAAGACATAGCCAGCCCTATCTGTTGTCCGACCTGCACTAGCGTGCGAACGTTGAAGGCAGCCAGTTTGAATGGTGCACGTGGTTTCAGAAAAACTGCTTCAGTTCTCGTAGTCGGTGGTAACATACAATATTCAACCGGACAGTGACTCGAGAACGTTTAGATACAGTCGAATTTCCACCAAAGACGAGCCGCTGTATAAGTATAAAAGAGGGAGAACAATGTGGAAAATAATAATAATAATAATAATAATAATAATAATAATGACAATAATGGTAATAATAATAGTATTATTAATGACAATAATAGTAATAATTATTGGAATCGATTGATTATATATCGGAGCGAGAAAATTCGTTGCCATAGTCATAGGGTTCATCGATTGTGTGTGGGCTGTGATACTGCCCGGGTGCCCAAACCGAAGCAGGTGGTTGTCTTAGGGGGCCACACCCCGAGCCTTTGACCAAATGGTCTAACCCACAAGGCAGTGGAGCATCGTAAGGAGATGCAATCCCATGGTAGCCGGTGACCAACGATTGGTTCATACGCCATTTGTTCCCGCAGGATACTGGAGCCCATGTGCACCATTGGTTTGTGATCCGGTTAAAGCGCCGGACGTTCGCTTTTCGTCCTCTCATTTTTGTAAACAACACCCCCGCCGCGAGAAGGCAATGAGTAGGACTTCCCTGGCAGAGGCTGTATACGCGCGGCCGTGTGAGAGTATTTCGAGAGGGAGAGCGGACTCTCCCCACTCTCGGCCGTACCAGGGCGTTCGGGGGCAACCTGTTTCTAGCATATATAAACATAGTTATTATTGTAATCCAGTTATTTACACTCATTTATGTCAATTGTTTTTACACTATCTCCATGTAAAAAAATTCTATCACAATTTTGGTTTGTAAGCAGCTGACGAGAAACCTCGAAATAATATGAATTCATACTATTCTGCATCAATGTTTGTTCTTGCTCTATTCAAATTCATAAAGGGAACCAATTGCATGAGATTACTTATTAGTTATTCAGTCGAATGATTGATAGTTATCTTAAACTTCTGACCTATCTATTGTATGAATATTACACACCACTTTTACGTTCTAACTTTTCAAATAAATATTTGTATCAGAAGGGCTTTTTGTGGATATTATAGTAAATTCAATAGTTGAATTCATGAGTCAACTGAAACAATTGAAAGCGTTCGCGCGCGAGACCGATATATCCTGGGTTCGAATATCGCGAGGCAGGATCGTGAATGCGCACTGCTGAGGAGTCCCACAATAGAACGAAACGGCCGTCCAGTGCTTCCAGGCTTTCAATGGTGATCTAACATCAATCGGTATATGATCCCAATCAATTACATTTATAACTTCAATCCATCAAAAAGTTATCACTATAGGAAGATTTGTTGAGATTTTAGGATTTTCAGAGTTTAAATCACGAACGGATTATAGATTCTACAATATTGTATGTTTGATTATATCAAGGACCTATTAACAGAAAATATGAAACGTTTTAAGAAACTACACTTATTATTCGTTGAACTTGTGAAAGTTTAAATGAAGCAGTTTTTAGTTTAAAAAGTTTTGGCGGTTGTTGAATTTCGTAATTTTCATAGTTTAAAGATTGAACTGATCTTAACTAGACCACTATTAGAAACTAGGAAGCACCGGGTGGCCGTTTTGTTTTTGTATGGGACTCTGTGGAAATCTAAATCCACTACCCCGCATTTAAGAATCAAACTTAAGGTCCTAGGTCTTGTGTGTGAATGCCTAATCCCTAGACCCATGAGCCGGCATCCAATGGTGTACTTGTCTAACTTCAATAAATTCACGATATTGTGCGACCCTCGCCTATTGCTGACTCATATCCTATATGATAAAAATCTACTAGTCACAGCTTTTCGCTAGAACTTTAGGAGTTACTTCTTGAAGCTGGTTATTAGTGAGCAAACGAAGTTAGAGGTGTCCACCATTGGAAGCCCGCTTAGTAGTCTTAATGTTAACCTAAGAATAGTTGACACTTTAAACTATGAAAATTATAAAGGTCAGCAATCCTTAAAACTTTTAAAACTAATAAATGCTTCATTTGAACGTTCACAACCTTCACATATCTGGGTAGCATCATCAATGAAGAAGGAGGACCTGATGCAGACGTAAAGGCAAGGATTGGTAAAGACCGCATTCTTATAATTGAAGAATATACGGAACTTAAAACAACTGTCAACCAATATCAAACTCAGAATATTCAATGCGAACATCAAGACAGTCCTACTGTATGGAGCTGAAACGTGGAGAGCTACTACAACCAGTTGTCTACATAAGATACTGAATGTTAATTGACCGGACACGTTCAGCAACAGCCTATTATGGGAGAGGATAAACCAGCTTCCATCTGAAGAGGAAATTAGGAGAAGACGATGGAGGGTGGATAGGATATATATTACGGAAATCACCAAACTGCATCACAAGGCAAGCACTTACCTGGAATCCCTGAGGGAAATGGAAAAGTGGAAAGCCAAAAAAGACACTACGTCGTAAATTCGAAGTAGACATGAAAAGGGTGAATAGCAACTGGAAACGACTGGAAAGAATTGTCGAAGACAGAGTTGGATAGCAAGTGCTGGTTGGTTGCCGATGCTCCTCCATGGGGTGCAACAAGCGTAAGTAATTAAGTTTTAAAAGGTTTCATATTTTCTGTTGATAATTCCTTGATATAATCGAACATATAATATTGCGGGTTTTTATCATCTTAACTAGTATTACCTAAAACTAATTATAAGTCTCATATAGTTGTAAGTTCCCAAAAAATGATTACATATTTATTATGTTACTAAGTTGATTTTGATAGGTCCTGGGTTCGAATCTCATGAGGCGGGACCATAAATACACACTGCTAAGGAGTCCCACAATAGGACAAAACAGCCGTCCAGTGCTTCCAAGTTGTCCATAATGGTCTAGCTTCAATTAAAGCATTCCATTTATCAATTAACTGTCTCAGGTATACAATATTACTTATTCAAATAATCATTTCATAACTTTTTTCTCTTTCCCTTTTTAATGTTTGTTACTTCTTGTAAAAATCTACCAATCGGAATTATAAAATTATGGAATTTTCTCTGACTTTATTTAATGAAATACATTCCCCTCTCTGAAAGTTATGATTAAAACAATACACATTGAATCACTTCATGATTGGATATACATTATAGTAGTATCACTAATGCTGTTACATTTTTCAACTGACTCTCAAGCATCCTTTAAAAAAACAAAAAAATCGACAACAACAACAACAAAACAAACAAACAAACAAATACAACAGACAAATGCAGGAAGTTAGATTTCCCCTCTCTTTATTCCTAAGTTAAAAATGATATCAATATTTACCCTTCTATCCTGCCTCCCCCCCTTCGCCTCTATTGATTGAATGATTAACTGATCGAAATTTTGTTTCCAACCTAATAATGACAATTGAATGAAAGTATAAATTAAGTGTTTACACTGATTATTTATTAAAATATCAACAATTGAAATTGTTAATTATTTGTTGTCATGAAAGACCATAAATATTCTATTAATAAACTATCATCTTATAAAGTATCGAATGATTCAAGATCAAGTAAGTGTATATGTATATTACAAGTTAATAATGTATATATTATGTATATTTGATGGTTATAAACATTCAACATTTTAGGTATCTGATTATTTGAATCTTATCAGTAAAAGGTGTATCTATAGTCATACGATTGATGATAGTAAAATTGAATTTTCAAGCCAACTGGGAATGATTATCAGAATAGGGGAGGGTTGTGAAGATTTTAGTAATTTTAGTAGTTCAATTCATGAGTTGATCTAGGCTAGATCACTATTGAAAACTTGGAAGCACTGGATAGCCTTTTTGTCCTATTATGAGACTGTTCAGCAGTGTGCATTCATGATCCCACTCACGGGGTTTGAACCCAGGACCACTAGGAATTATATCATAATGATTTATTTGAATATGACAGTAGATGATTTTTGTTTGAATCAGACAAGAAGAATGATTTCCCTCACTAATGGAAACACTCCCTAATGTATATTTTCAGTTTGTACTAGATGTACGTTGGACTAAGATTTTTACTGATTGCCTTTAATCACCTAAAATGAGAACATAGTGCATACGTTTTCGAGTTATCAAAACTAGTGTCTATATAACAACTGGATTTGATTAGCACATAAGACCAGATGGAAATAACATTCCTCATTATACAGTGATTAATCATTGTATATTTATCATGTATTTTCCAATTTAATAGTTGAATTCATAAGTTAATTGAATAACTTTAGCTAAACATATATTAAAAGTTATGGAACAGTGGATAAGTATTCTGTCCTGGTATGAGACTCATTAGCAGTGCACGATTATAATCTTTCCGGGGAATCTTCAGTTTTTTTCTTAGTGAGCATGTTGTCTTTAGATAACTAAAATGGTATTTAAGGATTGACATTTTATACTTTTGTCAGTTCTTGTTATTACACGAACATAATCAATTGTCGTCGGTGATACTTATCTTCCTTTTCTAGTCACGGATTTTCAGTGGAGCATTTGGAAATTCAGTTCTAATTGAAGGTTTTTTTATGTTACGACGGTTTTGTTATTGATTTTTCAATTTCTTCAAGATATAATCTCTTTTTATTATCTGAAATGAAGCTCTTATGAATTCATTCATTCTATCTTTCATTCTTTAATATATATTTATTGTTGGATGGAGTAAATAGGTCAACAAGGGGTCTTAGATCTAAATAATGATTATAATTAACTTTTAGTTTAAAGGAACATGTCAGATGCTTATTCCTGGGTTGAATATTCCAAGTCACTATTAAGATTATAGATATACATTGCCAGGTATGATTATATTTACTTCTGTGGCTTATTGATGATTATCTTCAATCCTCTAATGTCGAAACATAGTGTAGATTTTGTCGAATTAGTCAGTTTTATGACCATATTGTAAATTGAGCTATGGAATTCAATTGACAATGCAAAACTGATAGACATGATAGTAGTTATTACTTAATGGTGAGTTCATGTGAGTTTATGTATATGATATTGTTAGTCGGCAAAAACTTTGTTACTGACATTTTCCATTTCTTAAACGGAATATAATTTCATACTTTTAAGGAAATATCATCCAACCACCATCTTATCCCAATGTCGAATTACCTAGACTAAGGGTTACATTCCAACTTGATAGATAACATTCGATCTACACTAAGAAGGACGTGACATACATGATATTAACCACCACCCAGTGATCAATCAATTGTGAGAACATATCAGTCCTACAAGAGGTCACTCACGGACCGGATAGCCCTATGGTAACGTCTCTGAATATGAGATCGGACGAAACAGGGTGAAATCCGTCAGGGAGCATCAGTTCCCTCAAGATTACAGGTACACCTTGATGAAGAGTGCCGAATAGCACAAAACCTGGGTCTAGGGTTGGTTTTCCTTCTAAGCTTCATTACATTGAGCTATTCTCGTAACCTAATGGATTATTTGTTCAGGTTGTTAATTAAATTTTCTCTGGTTGATTGGGTTTAATTCAATGTGTCTAATTGATTACTGAGTGATCTGAATGCATTGCTTCCAGAAACTCTCAGGAATTCCTAGAATGCAACGAGCCAGCTATCTGGAGTAAAAATGTGGGGGAGCGGTACGATTGTGCGATCTATCCATAATCCTGAAGGGATCGTATAGTTGTCGTTTGAGTTGATTTCAGTTATTCAACTTTTTTTTCCCAGTACATTGTTTACACTTATTTATGAAAGAAATTCACTGAGATTAAACGGTACCATAATTCTTTACTATAGTATGCATTCAGAAGTCTACTCTAAATCAAACGCATATTCTGAATACTTTATCGTAAGCATGATAATGATGAGTTTTAATTCATAACTCATAAATTGACGAACATTTCTACTTTCTCATTGGATGGTCGTATACAGTCTGCTAAAGAGATACATTTTAACCAAATTATTCATGTATAATCAACTATCATTCTGGTAAATACTAATGTGTAGTTCAACAAAAACATGTCAGTAAAATAAATTTATATAAATTTTGGTTTTTACCAAAAAAGTCATTAGTAGATATGGATAGTGGTTCATCAATTGGATCTACCTGCATCCTAGAAGTAATGTTCACTCCGGGACTCGAACTCAGCACAGCTCGTTCCTGTTGAGTTCTAAATAGGAAGAAACTCAAATCCCGGAGTCCATTGCTAGCGTCCATTCATCTCTTCTTATAATGCCTTTGATTTAAGGCAATATCGAGGCAATGCACACAAGATCCACATAAGCTAAAAGAGAGTGATCATTAGCACTCCTAAACATCAATGGGAATATTGAAACAAACAATACAAAATGAATTTAAACTTCACTTTCTTTCACAAGCCAATGGCTAGTATGGTAATCTTTAAAAGTGTTCATCCACGTTCCCATCGCCGGGGATAGAACCCAGGGCCTCCAGTCTTGCACTGGAATGTTTAACCTCTGGATCACTGAGTCAGGAACCATTGATGTACAGGTCTAACTTAGATCAATAGGCGTTCATGTATACACACTACTTAGGTATCCAGTTCATCCTAGGTTTCATTGGTTGCCTAGCGTAGACTGGCTTAGGATCTCAGTAATCAAATGTAATGTCGGGATTTCCGCTCGAGAACTGATGAAATTCTTTGATTCCCTATCGGAAACTATAGTATGATGCTGAATTAAAAGATATAAAGACGTGAAAAAGGAAAAGTACATTCGAAGATCAAATGAAATTCAAAAATCAATCATTGGTTATAAGTTAACTCACTGATTGTATTTCATTAGATTTGACTTGACCGAACGAGATCAATATATCTCCTACTGTCATAAGAACTAGAATCTAAGAAAATATGATGAGTACTGAGTAGTATAGGCTCTAAAATGATTCATTGAATCATGATGTTTTGAAATGTGTAACTCTCTCAAAGGTTCAGTCATAAGATAGTATACGGCATTAATTAGAATGCAGTTGAATAGGACATATATATATATATGGGTTCTAAAATTGTGTGATCTAGCATTGTTTAATAATATAAACTGGATAGATTCAACACTTAGTTTGACGGCGTATAAGATATGTAAACAGTTAAGTAACTGTAGATAACTAGCATTAACCCCAGAACCTTGGTGTCGTACTGGTTGGCGATCATCTGCAAGTGCCTGAGTCGTGAATCAGCGTCGTCTAGTTTTACGGTTTGGGACTTTATCACTAAAATTTCAAAATTACAACCACCATCATGTAGGGATAAGATATTTGCAGTGACTTACCTCTAAGAAATAACTCGTGTCATAAAAATTCCCTCATTATTACTGGTATGACTTAATGACAAGTGGCAACTAACGACTACTACTTCCAATCAACTAACATCTAAGCACGTGATATTTAGTCACACTCATCAACTCATTATCATAAACAAAGTATAACCTCAAGTATTGCAACTTGGTCAATAGAATTCGGCCAGACCTAATGATGAACCAAACTGTTTCCTACTCAGTGATCAGCCAACATGAATATATTCAATATGAATTATTAAAGTTATCCGTCAGAGATCAACTAAAGAAATTAAGATTAAGACAATAATTCTCTGTTATTAGATGAAGATCCTACTATGTCATAATTTGACTGAAATAAAATGTATTACTGATCAGGTTTCAATCTACTTAAATCAAGCTTTTGCTTACTTGCTTACGCCTGTTACCCCTTCTAAAGGAGCATAGGTCACCCACTAGTGCTCTCCATTCAATTCTATCTTGAGTAATTCTTTGCACTTGTTTCCAGTTGTTATTCATCCTTTTGATGTTTGCTTCCGGTTCCCTACGAAGTGTGTTCTTCGGCCTTCCTCTTTTCCGTTTACTTTTAGGATTCCAAATAAAATCAAGATATAATTCTTATTAGGAGAACAGGAGTTCTTAAGTTTGATTCTCAATGATATTAAAGTTTACTGTAATAATGTTTTGAATTATGATATGATCCTTTCTGATATTCTATGATTCTGTCAGCGATATTATTCATGAAAGGTAACATTATTATAACGAGTAAATAGTTGTGTCTGTTGTATTGATGAAGATCATTCACTTGAATTGATATGATCAATGTGGCCATATAATAATTAGTCAAGAAACAAATGATTACATTGACTGTAAACAAACTTCAATGAATAGAGATCAAAAGACATAATAATAATAAGTGTTCACCAAAATATGGATCATTTAACATGGCAAAATGACATAATTATATACAAATGCATTTAACACAAAATAAACGTGATTAAATATTATCAGAATGAGGTTTTGTGGAGATTGAAGCGGTTGTTTATAGTTGAATTCATGAGTCGATTAAACCTAAACCACCATAGAAAATCTGGAAGCAATGGACAACCATGAACAGTGGAGTCCAATCCGTATCTGTTGTGAAGCGGTAACTCATCAAAGACAATGGTGGATGGTGGCACAATTTTGTGGATTGGTTGAAGTTAGACATTAACATTGTTGGATGCCAGTGCAGTGGTCTAAAGGCTAAGCGTTCGCACGCGAGACTAA